TACCGGGGACATGGTTTTGAGAAAAAGGAAAAAGAAGTTTTATTGTTTTGCTAGCAAAGGAGAAACACAGGTACCTCCTGTCCTAAAGGCTGTGATTCTGCCCATCAGTAGGAACAGGGGCCTCTTAAAGAGGTGATACAGAGAAAATTAGATTAGGTAAGGGACATCAGAAGGAGAAGATCCAAGAAAAGAAGATCAGGGAGGAGAAGGTCAGGAAGAAGAAGGTTAAGGAAAAAGATAAAAAACATGTAATTTTCGTAGTGATAAGAGATATAGGCAAAGCACCTATATCTCTTATAGGTGAGCCCCTGTTACACAGTTATAGGTAATGGCTTTAAATGAAGGTATTTATGCCAATTTTATTGTAAAAAAGAGAAAAAAAAGAGCAGATTGGTGCATAGACAGATGGCTATGTTTAACTTTTTGAAGGAGGTGGTTGGCAGGGGGAAGTTGTTTGAGTTCTTATTGCTATGGGCCAGGCTATATGGGCAATGACCAAACAGACTCCATTTTACCCTGAGAATCCATATCATGTAATAAATGCTTCTCCCATGGGAAAGCCCCATCTCTGTTCCCAGTAATAGTTACCTAGCATAGCATACTTGGCAACACAAAATCGCAATTCTCATACAATGCAAAATTGTTCTCTCTTTGGTTTCCATTTTTCTTCAGCGATATACCCTGTCAGATTGTCTAGATGCTAGTAACCATTCTCTAACTTGTACTCAACTAGGGTCATTTTGACCTACTTCCCTTCTGATTGCTTGCACCAACCTGGAAGGTTCCGAGGGAAATACCAATGTACCCATTGCATTGTTCTGCTAACTGCTGGATTCAGCTTCTGTACCCTTGCTTGCTTGCAGCTACCTCAACTGGGATGTGGTTTTTGCCTTTAAATACCCTAAAATGTTAAAGCTGGAGGATGTTTTCTGCAGAGACAACTTGGTCCTGTAGGAAGCAGTCCCAGCCAGTTGGAATAAAGACTCTTCTGTGTGTTTGCTGAGCGACCTGCCCCACAACATTAGATCATAGCTTTTCCCTTCTTGGAGAAGTAGGAGGCAAGATCATGTGCAGAGAATGAGGAAAGCAAGTAGAAAAATCTAAGATTGAAGATAGGAGAAAACAGTTGTTGCATGGTCATAGAGAATATAGAAAGAGGTTTGATTCAATGAGGAATTTATAATTATACCAGATAGTCCTGTTATAAACTTTGTTCACTAGTGACGTGCTGCCCGGGCACAGGTATGAAGCCCTGCTGTTATGTTGTACTTGAAAAGCTGGTATTTTACCAGCTAAGTGCTGTTAAAAGAGAGGTAAAGAGATAAATCTAACCATGAGTTCCAAACTAAAATGCCCACAGATAAATGTGAACTAGTAAAACAGATCCTGCTTGAGACAACTGGGAATTTGGGGACTTATGGTAAATGAGAAAATACATGCCACACTTGAGCCAGAAAAAGTATACAAAAAAGGCAAATTATACTCAGAAGAAAGTTTGTGGAGCACTAAATCAGCAAAATAGGAATTAACTCTAGTAGTTAATTAAGGGAATTCTTGTCAACAGTCAGTGAAAATGCTCTTTTATTTATCAGATCTTCAATCTTTTTAAGTCAGTGACTAAAATAATTCAGAGCTATAAAAACATAATCAAACAAAATGTTTTCAACATAAATATTTTTAAATCTCGACTCAAAATAATATAAATAACAGTAAGATCATTCCAATGCTGTTATCCAGCTATCCTTTCCAAGGTCTGAATATCAGTAGTAATTTCCCATAAGGAAGAGGAGACACCTAGAGCTCTATCCACCACCATGATCCTTGGCACAATCTGATCATATATCCTAGGGAAAAATATGACCTAATTTTATTGCTTCTTTATAGGCTAACATGCTTGATAGTTTTGCCATTCAATTCCCAGTTTTCTTTTCTCATTTGTGGGGCTGGGAGGCAGAGCTTCTTTATATAATGATATATTATATAAAAGGCAAGGAACACATATGCAAAAAATATTTTTTTTCAGGATAACTCATTTTTAAAATCTTTTCCTTTAGTAGTGACATAAAGGTATTTTTTATTTTTTGAAAAGGACTCTTTAGGTCTTGGAGGTTTCTGCACTAGGATGAATCATAGTTATGCATTAAACCTACCTTTTCCACACTGTCCTTTCACAAATGTCCAAGAGTCTAAGATAAAAGTAGGATTTGTCAAGTTTCTTAGCATTATTGTCTTTTCTATTATGTGACTGAATTCTAAAATACTCAGGGTTATAAGAAAACTTATAGGGGAAATTTTAATAAAAATGATTTTTAGGGGCTAGGGTTCTGGCTCAGGGGTAGAGCGCTCGCCTAGGACATTCGAGGTCCTGGGTTTGATCCTCAGTACCACATAAAAATAAATAAAGATATTGTGTCCAACATAAATATATATATATATATATATATATATTTATATATATACACATATATATAAAAGATTTATAAAATAGTTTTTATATTACAATATCATATTCATTTGTTCTTGATGGAAGCTCAATAACAGATGGTTGTTTTTAAAGCTCTAAGTGCATTCTTAAAATTACAAGCTAAAAATAATAAATTGGGTCATAGAAACTGGCAAAAACAAACCTGATTATCACTGAACAATTGAAGGAATGGACTACAATCAACCAATTTCTAAATCATTATTAAAATATGCAATTAGAATAATTAAACATGAAATTGAAACAAGATGACAAAGGAAGCACAAAATCAAAACTGTGATTTCAAGGGCAAATTTAGTATGGCATTGTGTAGTCAGGAAATAGGCTATTACATACACAAAAGAATACTGATGTCAATACATTATTTTTCTACAGACAGCCCATTGTTGTTTCTTGTGGTACAAAGTCTGTTCTATAATTATATGTATATGTTGTATTTATTAATGGGAAGAAAAAAATCATTTCATTTTCAGAATAAGATGCCCGAAGCTTCCATTTCTCCTATAAACGTAGATTTGCCAACTGGACTATAGAACTGAAATCTACCAATTAACACCTCCCTGACCTGTGGTTGTTCCAGGAAAGGCACTGTCATTTTTGGCTTCTTTTGACTCTTACCATGCTTCTATGACTTAGCAAAACTTTCCTCCTTATTATTGCATTTGCTTATCTTGATGCATTAAAGTATGTAAAAAAATTATATTAACATTGCCTAGAATTTCTTAACAATAAATTTTGAATATTGTTAGAAATTCAATTTAGAATTCTCTGAATGAGTGTAAGTACTGATATTTTATTTTCATACCTTTTTCTGCATTGTTTTTGCAACCCTTTGGGGGAAGGGCAATTAATATTAATTTAATCATTATGAAGTAATGAGAAAAGGACAGAGTTAGGCTTTTAAAACAAAAAGATGCTTTGCAGCTACCTTGAATCCAAAAGACCTTTTGGTGATTATACTAATGAAGTCTTCAGGATGCCCAAAAAGTGAATTTCCATTTGGAATAGAAGCATATAGATGTGCTGAATTTCAAAGAACCAGGCCTGTAGGAGTAACCAAAATTTTATGCCATATTCACACTGCAAGCAATAGCTTTTCAGCCAAAAGACATTATCTGTTATATTATTACTTTATATTTTATTTGAGTTCATACATTAAGTAACAGTATAATGAAACTAACTTAAGTAAGAACCGTAATTAGATAAGTTAGTTCTTTTCACAATATCAAGATGTTATTGAAGTTTTAGAAACCTGTTTTAGATCAGACCTCACGCGCATTGCTGAAATTATGTCATAAGCAGAGCAGTTGTGACAATTTGTTTTACTATTACATGCCTTGATTATTAGAAATTTCAATTTTTATTTTTTGTTAGAATTACATTTTATATAAGTTATTAATTTGGATGTAGTTATCTAAGGAACAAATTAAATCTGTTCTTTTTTATAACCTTCAGTTATAAGAGATGATCATGTTTTTCTTTTGTCAGCTTGCATCATTTTTTGGCTTCAACAAGTATTTTTGAGAACTTGCTTTAAGCAAAATATTGTGCACTAGCCATTTCCATTCCTTTCCAGGTTAAGTAGTCCTTGTCTTTCAACCTATCTCTGAAAGTTTTTTTTTTTATTTTTTTTTCCTCCGATTCCTCAATATTCTATTTGCCCTAATTTGCACATACTTGGACGATGTCTTTCTTAAAACGAGGCATTTAAAAATAAACATAGAAAATGGAGATTTTCTTTCAATGTCATCAGTAACAATCAATAGTACGAGTTGTTAATTCAGATACATATTAGGCTGGGGGGGGGTGGAATACAAAATACATAGCACACTATTCTTGTTTTCAGAATATTAAATATTATTGGAAAGGAAGATTACAATTTTATATTATATTAAATATAACTATAAGCATTCTAGGAACTCAGAGCTCAGAAATCTGTGTGCTGCAGGTAGTACTGGAAGTTTCTAAGTACTAACTAGCATTGGGTCTTGAAAGCTACCTATTTTGAATATGAATAAACCTCAGTACTTTGGCCAAGCAGCATAAATCTCAGTAATATCAAGAATAAAATCCACATTTCTTTGTTCTTTTATCTTTTCTGTACTTTTTGTAACAGAAAAGAGAAAGATTTTGGCCTGAAATTGGACAACAGTGGTGAAATCTACCATTTTTGGAAAGGCCACAGTAATTTAGACTTAAAAAAAGTTCTAATTTTTGCGGTCGTTGCCTGTTTGATAGGCGATCAATGAAAGTTGTCCGGAATCAAATTTCCTTCAGAGTGTTTCTAGGTACTGCGCAAACTCAAATGGATTCTGTCTCTTTAAAAAAGGAAAAAGTCTTGTAAAGGCAGGAAGACTGGAATGTAACCAGATAGGTTGTGTTTCCAGCATTCTGTTTACCCTTAAGCAAGATGGCGAGCGATGGTTTGCACACGCGCAGACGCAACGTTTGGGAGGGAAGTTCCGGCGCGTTAGTATGCGCTCCGGGCAGTGATTGGTAGCGTGAGAAGGGAGGGCGGAACCGGAAGCACCTGTGTTGTCAAGCTCTAGTGGTTCAATTCTGGCGTCTTTCCTGTGCCTAGCTTCTCGCTGCGGATTCTGCTTTTACTGAGGTTATCATGGGCGAAGCCGAGAAGTTCCACTACATCTACAGTTGTGACCTAGACATCAACGTGCAGCTTAAGATGTAAGAGTACCCGGGAACAGGAGTGGGATTGCTAGGGTGTAGGGACGGGTAGGCAGAGACCTGTAAGAGATGTGGGACGGGGAGAAGATGGTGACTTTCTGAAGACCAGGATTGGGGACATCCCTGCGAACTGTGGCCAAAGAAGTGGAGGAGAGCAGATTGTGAGGGGCTGTGTGGGAGAAAGTTTGAGGACTTGGCTTCTGTAATAGATTGAGAGATAGGGACAAGCTCTAACTTCCACAGCGTTTTCAGTCTTAAAAGCATTTTGCTTTTCAACTTTTTAAAGAGTTATTACTTTCTCATTTTACACATGGACAACCCAAGGTGTAAAGTAATCTTTCCGCCATAAACAAGAGGAATATCTTTATAGAGTAGGGTTTGAGGTTGGAGATGTGGCCCAATGTTAGAAAGGTTTCCCTGCGTGCATGAGGCCTTGGGTTTGATCCCCAAGACTCCCCAAAACAGCAACAGCAACATCAACAAACAGAAGGCTTGGAGGGTAGAATAGAGACCGCAGAAATTATGAAGAGATAGACACGTTAGATGTGATGGTTGTCAATAATATGAGCTCATGTGTGCCATATTAACAGCACTAGAGTTGATAGAAGCATAGATTGAATCTTTGGGCAATCTGACGTTGTTAAGGCAGAGTTGTTGTGAGAAGATCTCAGATGAGGGTGCCAGTTGCAAAGGGTCCATGAAGATATATGAGAAAACATCTTGCAGGAAAAACCCTGGGGTACTGTGTTTTATTTCAAATAATGGATTTGATACAATAATAAGGAATAGAGTTGGAAATTATGTCCTTAAAAGGTAGATGTGTAGAGCTATTGTTAAAGCTATTATAGATTATTAATTGCAGTATAATTCATAATCAGTAAACATTTATTGTGGGCAATTTTTTTTTGGCGGAGGTACTGGGGATTGAACCCAGGGAGCTACATTCCCAGCCTTTTTTATTTTGAAAATTTTTAAATTTCTCAGGGCCTCCCTAAGTTGCTGAGGGAAATCAAATTTTTGATTTTCATGCCTCAGCCTCCTGGGCTGCTGGGGTTACAGGTGTGAGCAACCATGCCTGACATTGTGTATTTTTAATCAGTATTATCAGGTACATATTTGTCAAAGGGCTGAATCATGTGATAAATATATTTTCTTAGGGCCCTTAGAATATGGTTACTTCAGTTATCCAAAATTATTGTAAAGAAAACTTGTCCAAACCTGAGTTCATCATTAGCTTACCTGTCTTAGCTGTAATCTTCCTGTGTTTTCTATTTGGTGATTGTTAGCATGATTGAAATTTGTTAAGACAGGAAACTGAGTATTAATGATACCCCTTTCTCACAGTTTCTGTTGTGTAATTCAGCAAGATATTTTGAATCTGACTGCTAAACTTCTTTGTTCGATTCTCCTTTTTCTGTCTCACTGCTCCAGTAGTAGGATACTTATTTTCTTTCTATTTTAATACCAGGTCTTCTGAATTTCCTCAATTTCAGTCTTGCTCCTCTGGTTTGTATGTTTTTATGTTAATGCCAAAAGTGTAAATACAGTCTGATCATGTTATTTTCTCACTTAAGTTAACAGGTTTTTTTTTTCTTTAAAAAAATATTAAACTGGAGATTGAACCTAGGGGTTCTTAATCACTGAAGCATATCCCCAGCCCTTTTTATTTTTTTATTTTTTTTTGAAACAAGGTCTCATTAAGTTGCTTGGGACCTCACTAAGTTGCTGAGGCTGGCTTTCAACTTTTGATTCTCTCCTGCTTCAGCCTCCTGATTGGCTGGGATTATTTTGAGCCACCACACCTAGCTTACCAGTTCTTAAATGTTTATTTTGTGAATTTGATGACTACTTCTGTTCACTATCTAGCTCCTATATTTCATTCAGTTTTATCTTTTGCATTTACCTGTACTAAACAATTTGGCATTTTTGCCACATAACATATTGCCTGTTTGCATTTGCTTTTGTATGTGTTGTTGTTTGTTTCTTGTTTTTAACAATAAGCAGGTAATTTTTATTAAATGTGATAATGTGCTCTCTGACAGGAGTAACACAGGGGACAAATACAAGACATACCAAAGTTCAACATCATAGGGTTGTTTACATCTGATATTACAAAGAATATTCTGGTTAAATAGTGGCACATAGTAAAATCTGTGTCTCTTAGGATGATGACAATGGTAGTAGTGGTAAAAGCATTCCTAGAGGTGATTATTTTATAACTGAGACCAGAAACAGTTGAATAAATGGAGATTACCCTTCCACACAGATGTATTTTTTTAAATATTTATTTTTTAGAAGTAGTTGGACACAATACCTTTATTTTGTTTATTTTTGTGTGATGCTGAGGATCGAACCCAGGGCCTTGCACATGCTAGATGATCACTCTACCACTGAGTCACAATCCCAGCCCCACACAGATGTATTTTAATGTGAAATTTTTCATAGAGTTGGAACTCTGCCCATTGCCATTTGTACCAACTGGAAATTCTTTTTTTTTCTATTGATTATTAATCCATATATTTATTTATTTATTTTTTATTGGTTGTTCAAAACATTACAAAGCTCATGACAGAAATTCTAAGGCTGAGTGAGGTACTTCATCTGGGGAGAGCATTCCTGGGATTCATGGCAGAGTTCTAAAGTGGTACAGGATATCCCATGAGAGACCAACTATATACTGTTCTTTTTCTTTGAAATGACTTCCTATCTCTTACCCTCCCCTTTCTTGTGTGTTGTTTAGGTTTATTTCAGGCATCTATGTGAGATCCTAGATCCATGCCCCAAAACCAGGTTAGGTGTTTTTGAGGCTTTATTTATCTTTCTGCGAAGGGAAGAATATTGGCTTTGGCCTCCTTGCCCTAGTTTTTGTTCTCTTTTGCTTACCTTGTTACCTTAGACAATATGTTTGTTCTCATAGTCTCAGTTTTCTCATTTACAAAATAAGAATATGGGTGAGAATAATTAAGAAATATTATATAAAATGCTTGGACAGTGTCTGATATAAACTTGATGTCTAAGAAATGCTTCTTTCTATTTAGTAATATCCTGTGCATAGCTTTTATGACTTATAACACTATATATTTTAATTTTAAGAAGTGATCAGATAATAAGTATCATAAAAAATAAAATATAAGAGAGTATCTCGTGTAAATAAATTTTTATCCTAGAAGCTATGGCATAACATTTGCTTGTAACACTATATTGTTTATTTTGGGCTTCCATGCCTACTACATTAAATGTTTATTGAAAGAGTAGTTGCATAAGTGGTCAACTTGAATAAAATGAAACTAAGGCAAGAGTTGGTTTCAGGGTTTGAGATGAAAAAGACTAAAATTGAGAAATATGTTGATGAAGATAGAATAATCTTGGACATATTATGATTTTCAGAAAACTTTATCATATGTTACAGTATCTTTAATGTATCAACCACGAAAATGTTTATTAGTAGTATAAGATTAGTTTGACAGGCATAAGCTTTTCTTAGTATTTCTTGTACATTTGTATACATGCTTGAAAAATGTATGTCAATAACATTTTTGTTCTTGTGTTTTCAGAGGAAGCTTGGAAGGGAAGAGAGAACAAAAGAGTTATAAAGCTGTCCTAGAAGATCCGATGTTAAAATTTTCGGGGCTGTACCAGGAGACATGCTCTGATCTTTATGTTACTTGTCAAGTTTTTGCAGAAGGGAAGCCTCTGGCCTTGCCAGTGAGAACATCTTACAAGGCATTTAGTACAAGATGGAAGTAAGTTGTGTTTTTATTTTTATTTTTTGTTTGTTTTGGCATAGGGTAGATTACAGACTGTTGTCTCCTTCCTTTCTAGGTGATGCATGATGCAAGTGGGAACAATTTAATAGGAATTACAGAGCTTCCTTCCCCACCCTCCCAGTACTGAGAATTGAACATTCTCAGTCTTTTTTTTTTTTTAATACATTTTTTTTTTTTTTTAGTTGTAGATGGACACAATAAGTACCTTTATTTTATGTGGTACTGAGGATCGAACCCAGTGACTCACATGTGCGAGGCAAGCGCTCCACCACTGAGCCACAACCCCAGCCTCACCATTCTCAGCTATTTTTACTTTTCTTTTTTTGGACTCAGGATTTTGCTAAGTTGCTGAGGCTGGTCTGAAACTTGAACTGTGGCTGCCTCAGTCTCCTGAAGAGCTGGGATTTGAGGTGTGTGCCATTATACCTAGTGCAGGGATTTCTTAATTGTATATATAGATATATTGATTAGAAAGTTTAAGTCAGCAATATACCCAGAAAAATATATGTTAAGTACTATAATTGCAACTGAAGTGTGAGTGAATTTATTTTTGTATTAAATATATTGACACTTTTGAGGAGCACTGCATTGAATTTTAACATGAACCAAACAGAACTTCTATATCTGTAGTGTCTTTAAATTCTCTTCATCGTTCCTCTTCCTTGAACACATAAACATTTCTAGGTAGTCTGAACTATTCAGCTTGCTGTTTGGAGGTCAGATCTTAGAAGGAAGTCTGTTACTCATCTGTTTAGATAAGATTTTTATTATGGATTCTGGTTGTTTCAGATAAGTAGGTTGTGTGTGTGTGTGTGTGTGTGTGTGTGTGTGTAGGTATATAAATATTATGTGTATTTAATACTTTTATTCATAGAATTTCAACTGTTTTCAAAAGTAGAGAATACTACAATGAATTTCTAATCCCCATCATCAAATTACTAATTCCTAACTTGCCAAATGCCAATGTCTCGGCTTGGCACAAGATCACGAGCCACCACACACTTGTAGATTCAAACAGCAATTCTTTATTCCCGAACTCACACCGGCCTCCACATAGGTTCAGGGGCAATCTCCATCTCCCGCACAATTCACGTCCTAAATACTTTGCGAGAACTCAGCAGGAACTCAGGCAGCAGGCATGCCCTACTCCCAGCAGCAATAATCTTCAACCTCCAACTTCCCTAAAACTCCTATTGTCTTAAACCGGGAACGCCCTAAACCCAAGGATACTTCCTCAAACCTGTAGGATACACCCTAATCCTGGATCCACCCTGGTCATTGAGCAGGGTCACCTTTCTCAAACACACATGCAAGGTCATAGCAAATTTCCAAGGCAAGTCCATTTAACATGGGGTACGCTGGCAAGGATTTCGATGCGTCATTCCTACTTGGCAATGGCCCTCAGCATCAACTCATAAAAAAAATCTTGTATTTCTATCATTATTTTGACAGAAATTCCAAACATCATCCTATCTTTTTTTTTTTTTTGGTACTGGGAATTGAACCCAGAGGTGCTTAATCACTCAGCCACATCTCCAGTTCCTTTTTATTTTTTATTTTGAGACATGGTCTTCCTAAATTGCGTAGAGCTTCACTAAGTTGCTGAGGCTGGCCTTGAACTTGCCCTCCTTCTGTTTTGGCCTCTCAAGTTGCTGGGGATGATAGACATGTACCACTGCTCCTGGCTTACATCTTTTTAAAAATATTACTACAGTACCATCATTACACATAGAACAATGAACCACAATTCCTTAATGTAGAATGAATTTATATCTAGAAGTTCAACTACTATGGTGAATCCAATTTTTCTTTTTAACATTTTTTTTTTTTATGAACACAATATCTTTATTTTTGTTTTATATATTTGTCTTCCACTTCCGGGCTTCCATGCCTACTACATTAAACGTTTATTGAAAGAGTAGTTGGGTAAATGGTATATATATATATATATTCCATTTGTATACATTTGTTTTGTTTTAGTTGTAGATGGACACAGTACCTTTATTTTATTTATTTTTATGTGGTGCTGACAATCAAACCCAGTGCCTCACACTTACAAGGCGAGTGCTGTCCCACTGATCCAGAACCCCAGCCCATCTTTACTTATATTTTTTTAAATAGTGAAATTACTTAGTAAAATAAGATGTCTGAGATGAATCATAAATGGCCTTTTGAAATTAAAAGGTATAAGATAACTGTACAGAAAATAGATTGAGAAAATTACTTTTTATTGGGTACATAACATGAAGATAGGCTTTTAAAAAACTTGGAGATTAAGGGAAAACATTGCAGATTTTATATAAATTGCTCATTAATATTTGAAAATTGAGTTTATTACCAATATCAAAAAAGAATTGCCCTGTTAAAGTGAATGGAGGCAAAAACTTTGCCTAGCTATCATTCTTTATACAAACTTTTATAAAAGAAATATTGTATGAAAAAAAAATAGGCCATAAAAGGATCTTTTGCCATCTGAACTTTTTCATTTCCATAGTTCATATAATATTTTGAGGTAATATGAGATCCCAGATGATAAGAGATCCCATAGTGAAGGAAACCTGTTCTTTCTTTAATTATACTTAAGGTAAATTCTCACTTTTATCTATAAATTGCAAGCTAAATTTTTTGTGTATTATCTGTAATCAGGTGTTTTAAATTTTTAAAAATATTTATATTCTACCTTGTCCCATATAAGACTTTCAGTGGCTTTAGGAAGACATATAATAACAACCTAATTTAATTTAAAAAGTACAAAATTAGGTTTAGAAATTTATTAATCAGACTAGAGAGTGACACAGTGGTGTGAAGGTCCACTGTGAGGATTGCAACATCCAGATTTAGGTTTTATGATGTTGAGAAGGATTAAGAATTAAGAAAGGAATGACATGGGAAAGAAGAGAACAAAATGGTGTTTAAAATAGCTTTTTGGTATCTGACTAGATCTTTTCATACTTTGTAGAATATTTAGAGCAGTTTTCAAACTTTTCAACTATAGGCCCATTTTCTTCAAAAGTACTATTGTGCAGAAACTAAATATGTCAAACAGATTAAAGTGCAGTTACTTTGATTTATAGAGATTTTGGGGGCCAGGAAAATAGCCAGAGTTTGAGATGAATGATCATTTGGTCTTAGGTATTGTCTTCTAGAAATTAAATGTCAAACATAGAGGTGAGACATTTCATAGTTCATTTTGAATATTCACTGGTTTTTCTTTTTAATTTCTTTCTTTTACTCATTCTGGTGATTGAATCCAGGGATGCTTCACCATTGAGCTACATCCCCAGGCCTTTCTATTTTTTATTTTTGAGATGGGTTTCCCTTTGTTGCTGAGTCTGGTCCTAAACTTGCAATTCTCCTTCCTCAGTCTCCTAAATTGCCAGGTTACTGGGATTACAGACTGGACCACTATGTTCAGCTTTCTTTAGTTTTAGCAAGAGTTTGTTAACTTCTTGGTTATTGGCAAAAGGTTGTCCTGTTTAATATTTTCCTTTTTAGCCTATTCTACCATGTGGGTAGTAATTACATTAATTTATTCAAGTGTATCTATAGAGATAATGGCTTTCTTAAGCATGCAGTTTATTTTTTTTCAGAACGTTATTGAAGAAAATGATTTTAATAATTTTTTGCTTCTTCTTGAAATTGATGGTTATCTCCAACTTTCTTGGAGGTTCTTACATTTATATGGTGCATGACAGTGATATGTTCCTTAAGCTTTTGCAAATTCTGTTCCTTTTTTACCCAATCAAATGTATTTGACCTAAACTAAGATAAGCTCCTTTGAGGATAATTTTGAGTAAACAGAGAAATAGACTTTTGTGTGTCTTCTGAGTATTTTTTTTTTCATAATTTGTATAGTATTCTTTCCAGATTTTAAAAGCTATCTGCTGCTTAAGGGAGTAGAAATTATGAATCCATTTTAAATGCAGGAGAAAGTTTACAAAAATGAATAAGAAAAAAGAACTGTTGTTGTGTATTAAGAACAAACATTTCTTTCTTTGTGAGATAATATGTACAGACATGCTTTGAAAGCATAAAGCACTAATTTCTAAGTGGTATCGGTATTAATGAAATAATTTGAACAAAAAAAAACCTTGTATAAGACTTTACATATCTGTAAAACAAACTTGTAATTTTTCATTTTATAAAGGTAGTAGATGCTTCACTGTGACATGTGGTTTGGTTGTTTTGGTTGCTTTATTATATTTAGGACTGCTTTGGATATGAGTACTTTTGATTATTTTATCTTCATAATGTAAAAATCTGTTCTAGAGAATGGTTAAAGAAAATTTCAGTTGAAAAAAGTTCTAACAGGTTGAAAAGTTTTCCTGTACCTTTTCAAAACATTTTCTTTGTACTTTAGTAGTGTTGTCTTAGTTTTCTTTTATGGTACTGGGAATTGAACCCAGAGCTTTACACGTACTAGACAAGTGCTGCACTACTGAGCTACCTCCCCAGCCTCTGAGTTTTGTGATTAATGCATTTAGCAGTGTTATTTATCATTATCTATATTTTAAAAAAATGTCTTGAAGTAATTGAGGTGACTGCCTCTTTATCTTCTGGAGTACTGACCTAGTTTTTGGAACCTTTTCTCTGTACAAAGCTTCTTGTATGGTTCATAAGTTTGTAAATTTGTATGGTTTGTAAATACAGATTTGTGTGTATGTGTGTGTATGTATGTAGGTATGTATGTATGTATTTATGACAACATTATTTCTATAGCTGGAATGAATGGCTCAAACTGCCTGTGAAATACCCTGACCTGCCCAGGAATGCCCAAGTGGCCCTGACCATATGGGATGTGTATGGACCAGGGAAAGCAGTGCCTGTAGGAGGAACAACTGTTTCACTCTTTGGAAAATATGGGTAAGTATTCTATTTAATTAATCTTTAGAAATATTTTAGCTCTCTGTCTCATTTTTCTGGAGGGTTTAAATTATTTATGCCAAATGCTTCCCTGTGTGAAAACCAGGTACATAGGATTTCATCTTCCTTGATAGAGAATTTCATGTGTTTCCTATATGATATACAGAAAGGTTAATTAGAAACCATTTATATTACTCTACTGTTAGCTACTGGTAATGTGATTATTATTATTATTTTTTTTTCTGGGACCGAGGATTAAACTCAAGGGTGCATAACCACTGAGCCACATCTATAGCCCTTTTTATTGTTTATTTCAAAACAGTCTTGCCAAGTTTCATAGGGCCTCACTGAGTTGCTGAGGTTAGCTTTGAGCTTGCTGTCCTATTGCCTTAGCTTCCTAAGCTGCTGGAATTATAGGCGTATGCCTCTGTGCCTGACTGGTTATGTGATTTCTAATAGAAAATAGAAGTTATTGGGAAATAAAACTTTGCGTTTAGGCATTTACTTGGCATTTACTATGACTTCTTTGTTACAGAGTTTTCCTGTTTTGTAATAATTATGACAAGAAGACATAAAGGCTTTTAAATTTTTAAGTATTAATTTGCTATGGATAGTAATGATTGTAACAGAAAAGTTGATAAATTTTTTTAAAAACTTATAGCCAATATAAGTAATAGTTTATTGTTAAACAACAGCAACAACAACTCATAATCTTAAAAGTCTCTGTTTTTTTAATCTGGTACCAGGTATTGAACCCAGTGGCATTTAACCACTGAGCCATATCCACAGACCATTTTATTTTTTATTTTGAGATAGGGTCTTGCTAAGTTGCTGAGTCTAGCCTCTATCTCTTTGTCCTACCTCAGCCTCCTGAGCCACTGGAATTACAAGTGTGTTCTAATGAACAGCCCACCCCCCCTTCCCAGTACTGGGGATTAAACCCAGGGCTTCACACATGCTAGGCAAATGCTCTACCACTGAACTACACCCCCAGCTTTTTATCCCTTTTTCCCTTGGATGGATCACTTTTCTTTCTTTCTTTCTTTTTTTTTTTAATTGGTATCATTCTGTGGTTTTTTTTTTTTTTTTTTGCATTTTATAGATTGGAATTTTTCTCAAGAACTTTGTTCATCATCCCATATTTAGTTACATGGGTATATGGTTCATATAGAAGATGTAGACAAATGGTTGAACTTACTTTCTCATTTACAAATTTTAAGAATAATGAGTTGGTACCCTAGTAACCTTTTTATGGTGAGTGACGTGGCGGGGGTGGGGGTGGGGAACCTAGATATTGTACCCAGAGATGCTCTACTGCTGAGCTACATCTTCAGACCTTGTTGTTTTTTTATTTTGAAACAGAGTCTTGCTAAATTGTTTAGGGCCTGACTAACTTGCTGAGGCTGGCTTCGAACTTGGGATCCTCTGACCTTAGCCTCCAGATCCCTGGGATTATAGGTGTGTGTCACCATGCCTGGCTTTACCCTTGTAACCTGAAAAGGTGATGATGATGGCTTTTTGTGTTTGTCATGAACTTTTTTCATCTTAAACATTTTGGATATTGGTTTAGTTCATTGCTTTCTATATAGTGTTTAAAGTGTTCCGTTGTCGATAGTAACCTGTTCAAGTAGCCCCCGTGTCCTTTCAATAGTATAGTAGTGGTCATTAGTAGCTTCTTTGTTTTTCGATATATAGGCTAGTCCAGACTCATTGAGTAATTTTCTATTCCAGACCTGGAAACTGAAAGAAGTTTTGATTCCTTTCAGGGAAAAATGCTGTGGACTTTAATTGTCTATTTTATCAGATGTCTTCATTTTTACTCATTTTAAAGTTTTCCATTTTCTTATTTTGTACATCAGTAAATACAAATGGGGACAATCATATTATGATGGTTCTTGACTGTTTTATGTAAGTTGCTTTTTATGCCCTTTGCCCATTTTCTATAGAGATAATTCACATACCATAAAAATCTTTGCATTTTTTTTGTTGTCATTTTTGTGTTGGTATAAGAACCATTGTAGATGCATGAAATTAGTCATTTGTGTGTTATATTGTAAATTACTGTTTTTGTCTCTTAGGTTTATTCTTTTTAATTATTCTGTATTTGATTGCTATTTATGAATCTTAAATTCCTATGTTGAATTTATCACGTTAGTTTTCTTTTTAATCTGTGAATTTCATGTTTTAGAAAGTCCTTTCCCAGAGGGGAGGAGTAGGGAGGATAGGAAGGGCAGCAGAATCGAATAGACAATACGATTGATGTATGTACATTCCATGTATGTATTACATATCAAAATTCATTCTACTATTATGTATGACTAAAAAAAATAAATAAAAATTAAAACAAACAAACAAACAAAAAAAGAAAGTCCTTTCCAAGTTAAGGTTTGTGTTTGTTTGTCTGTCTTCTGTTCTGCTTTATTCCTTCATGTTTTAACCTGATTAATCTAAAATTGTGTTTCTGAAAGGAATGATAGGTAGTGCAAAAAATAAGCTTTTAAAAAATAAAAAAATCAAAAGAAATGGTTTATATAATTTGTCTCAATGCTCTTTAGTTCATAAACTATTTTTTTTAAAGAGAGAGTGATAGAGGGGGAGAGAGAGAGAAAAAATTTTTTTAATATTTATTTTTTAGTTATTGGCGGACACAACATCGTTGTTTGTATGTGGTGCTGAGGATCGAACCGGGGCCGCACGCATGCCAGAGGGGCACGCTACCGCTTGAGCCACATCCCTAGCCCCAGTTCATAAACTATTTTTTGATTGAATATATAAATTCAGTTCATTATGTACCAAAGTTTTCTTTTTTTTAATGGTTGCCTGGAATATTTTATTGGGCTCTGGTAGGAGGAGGGTGGCCAATATTCAATGTAGTAGAAGGTAGTTTGGGGTAATAGGGAATCCTGGAGCCTCCTCTGGGTCTGGATTTATCTGTGGACCTTGACAATTTCTTAACCTCTTTGGGAAATTTTCTTCAACTGCTTCCTTTGGGATAGGAGATTGAAAACAAATTTGGGCACTGGTCTTGCTAATTCTGGAGTCTGAGAAGTTCAAGGGCATGGCACCTAGTGGTGAGGACCTTACTATTGTATTTTCCCATTGTAGATGGTTGCAGAGGTTCAGTACATGATTAGGTAACTCCACAGCTCAGGACCCAAGGTGAAGTAGAACACCATGGTGGAATGGGACAAAGCTGTTCAGTTCATGGAAGAGAGAGCACTGAAGTCTTAAGAGCAGGGAGATATAGTATATTGTATACTGGTAAGAAAAATAATTTGTAGAAAGATTATCTGGCTTCAGATTCTAACTTCTGTGTCTAATATCTGTGTATCCTTGGGTAAGTTATTTAATCACTCTGTGTCTTGGTTTGTAAATTTAAATACCAGTATCTATTTTTTAGTTTTTGATGGTTAAATTACTAAGTGGATTTAATGGGTCCAATAAATATAATTCTACATTCTAAGTTACATAATATGTATGTTATTTAATAAATGTTATAATGGGCTCATTAAAATTAGTTATCATTACTTTGTAATGATATTGTAAAATATATAATATTAAATAGAGATAGTCATCATTAGTCTTCCTTTTAAAATATATCTGGATAGTCTCCATATTTGTTTTTCCAGGTAAATTTTAATATTTTCTCAATTTAGAAATTAAACTCATTTGGAAATCTTAGTGTAATTTTATGTTAATTAATGTACTTATAATATTGATTTTTTTATGTCTAGGAATAGGGTGTGTAAGAATGGCTTCAACTCATGAATAATTTCTAGATGTAATTGCATTAAGAATACCTTGATTGCTTATTAATGGGTATGTATTTTAGTTCAGTGTAGCTGTTAAAGAGATATTTGTTATTGAAATCCATACAGAAATAATACTTGAAACATAATTAGAATCATTGCAACTTCTGGTTTTTAAATGTATTTTTAATAATATTGTATGTTACAGCAAAATGGACGTATTATTAAATTAGTGTTGTTGTTTTTCTGGAGTGATTACTCCTTTTTATTTTTCTCTACTCGGAAGGGTTTGTTTGCCACAGAGAGAAAAAAATGTAAAACACTTTATTAGTCTTAGTGGCTAAATGATTTTGAGAAATAGCAGACCTCTAGTTTTTTCTTTCTGAGTTCTTTACAAGTGATTTACCCTCTGGAATGTCTGCTGGAGGGTTGTCATAAAAACCCCTATTCTAACACTTGTGTACATTTTACATGAACTTAGGATCTAATTTCAAGGAGATTTTCTGGCTAAATTACAGAAGTGCAACAAAATGAACTGCCTGAAGCTAAATAAATGATTTCTCAGGTTGACATACACTATTACATTTGTCTTTTGGCAGGTTTTTGAAATGTACATTTTATCAGTAGTAGTCAATCTATATACAAGAATCATCTTGAAAGCTTACTAGAGAAGTGCCTTCTTCAGTCTCACTAGTTCAATAAGTCTGAGGTCCCAAGAGGTTCTGTGAATGGTAGGTTGTGGACCACATTTTGAGAAACACTGTTTTTCTTTGTCTTAGTAGTCTATTTGTACAACTTATACATACAGTTCTTTTCCTTCTTTTTCATTTACTCCTTCCCTCTTCATTTGTAATTCTATGCATATCTCAGGAGAGTAAAATGTCCATTACATCCCATCCAAATCAAGCTGGAAATGTGCCTGAATGACAGATCAATAGTACTTATTTTGCTTAAAAAGGTTCTTGAACCCCAAAGATTTTTATAAAGGTAGTAGCAGTAATTGGAACTTAAATTTATTGGATTTTTTTTTGGGGGGTGTCATTAACTAAGATAAGACTTTGAATCTTGGAAAGCCATCAGTTTTCTCTTAACTCTACCTTAAAAACAGTTCATGCTGTTCTTCCATGTCCTGAACACACCAGATCTCAGATATAAGGGAAATGTGTTAGAGAGCCATATTGATTATGTGTAATCATTTTACTTAGACCTGGTTTCTCAAACTTGAGCCATTTCCTCATCACTTTAAGAATGTCAGTCTAATCTCTGTACTAAGTATACTCTTCTCTACTTGATAGTATTATTTAACATAGCTTATTTTTTTTACTTCCATTTATATTAAAGGGAGAACTTGATATTCTTGCTATGTGGTATTAGTAAAATACTATGAGAATAACTAAGTTATTAAATTTTAGAAATTGAAGCAAAAAACCTAAAGAAAACAAATGATATTAAAATAATAATAGGGCTGGAGCTGTGGCTCAGCGGTAGAGTGCTTGCCTAGCACGCGAAAGGGACTGAGTTTGATCCTCAGCACCACATAAAAATAAAATAAATTGATCTTAAAAAAATAGTGTTAATATATTTGATTTGCAAAATATGCATGGAATACCTGCAAAGAAAGAAGTTCCTTTGTTAGAATGATTCTATTTGTGCCTAGTCAGATGTAAGAGAATATTCATTTCACAGTTATTTGAGGTAAAGATGAGATTTTATGTCAACATTTTCTTTATTAATCCAACCAACTAATATATGGTTGTAGGTCAGTTATTCAAATGATAATATTAGATTTTAATCTAGGTCTTTTTGGATACCTTGAGCAGTAAGGAAGGAGTAGAGACATGCTAGATCGCCAGCTCCTGTTCTCCACTGGGCTGGCACTTATATTGACCTAACCTTCAGAAGAAGGAATTCTAAGGAACCCTATATAAGAAAGACAATTCCTTCTTCCCTGTGTCCTGGGGCTTTACTCTGGAGGTGAGTGTGGTTGTAGTAGAGAAGAACCAGGTGTCACGTGGCAGGCCTATTACTTCTGGTACAAGTTTGAATTGTGGAAGAATATGATCTTCTCAATGTTTCAAATACTTCAGTAGTGTACAGACATCTACTTGTCCTGCTGGGCCACAGCTGCTTCTCTGCATGGCACAGCTGACACCCAGGGAGATAAAATAACATGAGTCTTCTGAGTGGTCTCAGTAGGAAGCCTGGGCTAATTTTCTCAACCTTTCATCAGAAGTCATGTTATATGGTTGAGCATGATGCTGGAGGCTGGAGACAAGAGGAGTGCAAATTTGAGGCCCACACAGGCAATTTAGCAAGACCCTGTTTCAAAATAACAAATAAGTGTTGGGGGTGTAGCTCAGTGGTAGAGTGCCCTTGATTTAATTCCCATTAACACACACACACACACACACACACACACACACACGTCATATCTTGTGCTGGCACTGTTCTCATGGCTGAAAAAAAAATGATACCATCACAACTTCCTCAGATGTTTCTTATGCAGTGTAATAACACTATTTGCCCTTCACCTTTTTTCCTTAAAGATTTTAGCACACACATAATAGCTTGGAAAAGTGGTCCTCAAAGTATCTAAAATAATGCTATAGTATTGCTAATCTTGTGTCTACCAACTCTTACTATTTGCTACTATCTGCTTTGTATACTTGAGTCAGCATGAACCAGAACTTCTTGGAGAGGTCTAATGAATTATTGAAAGACTGATTCTTTAGCCTAAGTCTACAGTAGCTTTTTGTTCTTAATTTGAACGTCTAGCCTGTGAGATTTCTAAGTAGCTTAAGAATGGATCGATCATTAGGCTGAATTGGCAAAGAACAATAAGCAAGCTGCAGATTTCTCTTGCAGATGTTTTTTCCAAATGTGAATTCTGAAGTCAAGGCAGTTAGTGCTGTAGTGGCTTGGCACTCCAGGCTGGAACAGCAGCAGTAGCTGTTGCTGGGGCCTGTGCTGGAGTTGAGAGAGGGCCTGCTGTGCTGTCTATTGACTTGTCTATTTGGCTTAATTTCCCAAGTGGACATCATGCTCTGAGTATCTTCTGTCTTGCCACCTGGAGGCTGTATAACTCTGCAAGGTTCCATTAATGTCAAAACAAAGTAATATGCTCACTTGATCATTTAAGTCACTTGATTTCCCCCTACCTTCTACATCCCTTTCCTTAAGGCACCTCAGTTATTTAGTAAACTGACTTCCTGCCAAATATGCTTGTTTTTGATTTAGTTCAGTCCAACCAAATTTTCACTGGCTGATGGGGAAAAGGAAGGGAGGCCGTTGGCTACTTCTGATGATATTTAAGAATATTCATTTAAAGTGTATTGTTACCTTAGCTGTACCCAGTTCCTTAGAGCTTGCTGTTAAGAAGATCTGCTTATGTTGAATGTTTATCTCAGTTAAAAGAGAAAGAAAATTAACTTTATAAATAAAGACGTTTATATACTTTTTTGTAATAATTTTTTAAATGTTTGACCTAAATAAATATTGGGAGATTCTCCACAACTAGGCAGTACATTTTTAATTGGGCCTTTAAGGTAAGATGTAAAAAAAATATAGTTGCTTAGAACTAGCAATTTTATTGCCAATTTGAGAAACCTTTTTAACAGATATGGTCATTAATCTTCTTGTAATCATAGACTTGTAGCTTTTTTTTTTTCTTAAGTTTATTTATTTATTTATTTGCAGTATTAGGGATTGAAACCGGGGGCACTCTACTGCTGAACTATCCCCCCAGCCACTTTTAATTTTCAATTTTTTATTTTGAGACAGGGTCTTACTAAGTTGCCAAGGGTGGCCTTAAACTTGTGATCCACTAGCTTCAATCTCCCAAATCTCTGGTATTATAGGCAAGTGCCACCAAGCCTGACTATCTTTTTTATAGTTCCCAATCTAAATGTTTATAGTATCATCACTATGCATATTATAATACATATTATAAAAATTCTATGAAGCCTATTATTATCATTAGTCAGAACATATTAATGGTAAAAAATTATGTAAGATTTTTTAAGTAGACTTTTTTTTTTTTTTTTTTTTGTACTGAGTATTGGGCACTTAACCACTGGGCCATGTCCCCATCCCATTTTTTTGTATTTTATTTAGAGACAGGGTCCACTGAGTTGCTTAGGGCCTTACCATGTTGATGAAGCTGGCTTTGAACTCAAGATCCTCCAGCCTCAGCCTCTCAAGCTGCTGGGATTAAGTAGACAATTTTTTTTGAAGACTGAAAAAGAATCAGAATATTTTATTCTTCAAAAAATTACTAAATGTGTAATTGTAAAATGCTTTAGATTTCCTGTTCTCTTATACAAACTCCTAGTCTTTTCTTTCCTTTGGAGTTGTCAATTTGTTTTTTCAGTTTTGGTGAAGATGCTGTTTGAGTAGACTTTATATTTTAAAGACCTTGATCAAAAACACTCATAAAAAGAGAGCACACTTAACTCATGGCCATCTTTAACCCCTCATGAGAAACAAACTTAGAAACTTTTGACAGTAGCATAATTAAAACACATTATTGTCTAAAGCTCTTCATGAGTTGATGCACCTTTGCTTTAGGTTTTCATAATAGCTTTTTGAGGGAAACTTGATGAGAGGGCATGTGTTCTTTCACTTTAAGTCAGGATAACCAGACTTAGCTGAGTCATGACTATATACTAAATTTCTAATTATAAACATTGGAAAGTTTTTTTTTTTCCATGAACTTACTATAGTATTTCCTTTAGAATGTCCCTCTTTTTTCTTTTTCTAAATTTTTAAGAATGCCCCTCTTATGGAAAAGAAGACAGGAGGAAAATCATCCTGTACAACGAAGAGGATTATAGTAGCTAACCTTTATGGAGTACTTACTATGTGCCAGTCGCTATTCTAGATACTTTTTGCTAATAATGATTTTTAAAAAGTTTTACAACAACCCTGTGAGATATAGTATTTTTTATCAGTCCCATATTACACATGAGAAAATCTGAAGTTACTGTGAAGTTATTTTAACTTATCAAAGGACACTCATGTCGTAGATGGCATAACTGGGATTCACATGCAGGCATGCTAAATTATTACTGGCAGAACACAGTTATGCTTTACAAATTTTTATTTCAGTCATTGTCAATGTAATATTTTTCTCTTTTGGGTAGAAATCTGGTCTCTTGTTTCTAAGAGCTTCATTGAAGTGATGAAGCATGCATGCTTCCTTCCTTTTCTCCTTCCACTTTGCCTGTAGATTTTTCTGTAATAGTTCTGATTGCTTGGAGGAGAAAAGAATGTTACATGGATTTTAGTTGCTTAGTGCATTGCTATCCAACCCACTGGGGGCTTAAAGCTTGGCAATAAAGGCATGCATGTCTTTGCATAGAATTTTCTTTGTTTTTAGGAATGTAAAATTTCTTGTAATTAACTGCATTAATTTACTTCTATCTGGAATGCTATCTTTTTCACTAGCATGTTTCGCCAAGGGATGCATGACTTGAAAGTATGGCCTAATGTAGAAGCGGATGGATCAGAACCCACAAAAACTCCTGGCAGAACAAGCAGTACTCTCTCAGAAGATCAGATGAGCCGTCTTGCCAAGGTATAAAAAAAGATTTTTGAAACAGTGAAGTACTCTGAATGATGTCTGTTATAGTATATCATGACATCATGAATTATGATGAATTATTATATGCTTTTATTTAAACTTTTTAGTAATATTTTTATTGAGATAATTCACATACCATAAAATTTACTATTGAGAAGTGTGCAGTTCATTGAGTTGTGTAATCATCATTGCTGTATAATTTTGGAACATTTTAATCACCTAAAAGAAACCATGTATTCTTTAGCAATCACTCTTCATTTGCTTCTCCCTGTGGGTGCTGACAACTGCTAATCTACTTTCTGTTTTCATCCGTCTTGCCTATTCTGGACATTGCCTATAAATGGAATCATACATTATGTGGCCTTTTGTCTGAACTCTTACCAGATTTGAAAATGTGATTCTTTTGCTATTTTAAATGACTCCCTACTTTTTCCAGTGACATAGCTTTAAAGATGAAAGTTTTAAATATTAGTGATACTTAGGATTTTGGGAAATGAAGACAGGTTATATAGCTAGCTAATTTAAAAGGGCATCATCCATCCTTTTTGTAAGTGGATTGAGTTAAGATTTTTTTCTTTCAAGACAGTTTTAATGTGCAAAATTAGACTCAGTTCTGTTTAATAAAGTAATTTTTTTTTTTTTTTTTTTTTTTTGTAAATCCCCTTTTACAAAGCACTGTGTTAGATTCTATTTAAAGGTCCTTTTACTACTTTGGTGTAGTGGCATATGCCTGTAATCCCAGGGGCTCTAGAGGCTGAGGCATGAGGATTTTTAGTTCAAAGCCAGCCTCAGCAAAAGTGAGGCAGTAAGCAACTCAATGAGATCCCGTCTTTAAATAAAAATATAAAAATAAGGCTGGGGATATGGCTCAAGGGTCAAGTGCCCCCGAGTTCAATACCTGGTATCCCAAAAAAAAAAAAAAAAAAAAAAAAAGATCTTTTTACCAATCTTGTTAAGACTTTCTTTTAATTTTTACATGTATTTTTTTTCTTTGAATTTAATTAGCAAGAATAACTAATGTCTGGAGAAAGTTTTGATGTCAACTATTAACATCCTATTGCTTCTCCTAATAATAATCTAATCCTCATGATTATGAGGAATATTTGCTTAGGCTTGGCTTTTTTCTTTAACAAATTTTTTTGTTATGATGTCCATTTGGTATATTATTGTTTTAAGAAAATGTGAAATGTTTTGCAACCTAATAAGTATATTGATGAGTATACTATTGTCAACCTCCTTTCTCTATGTTTAAATAAATAAAATTTAATATTCACTTCAGTTACTTACTTTAGATCTTGTTTACATTTTACATAACATATAGGAAAGTTCATAAGCTTTTTGTGTATACTTTCTCTTTTAAGTGTTTATTTTATCAATGAACTTTTATATGAGCTAATATTTGTAACTTTTACAAACCTGGAGTAGTTAATAGACATTTTACTAGGTTCAGATCATTTGTTGGTCATTAAAAAGTGGAAAAGGTTAAATCTTAAATGTAGAGCAACATGGACTATATTGGAGAAACAGAAGGTCTTTAATTTTCTTTTGCAGGCTACATTATGATTTATAGTATGTATGAAATTCTAAATTTGAGTAGTAATGGGAAGATTCAAATATAGAAAGCTGTATATAATGCAATTTATCCACTTTATTTATTATTTCAAATTATTTGCACTTTTGTTCATATGTTCCTAATTTTTTTTTCTTAATTATATTTGATGGAAGGCTCAAAATTTATTTTTTATAACTGACATTTTCCAGACATTAGTATATGCAGTATAATCATCTGAATTTGTTCAAGTTAGACTTCTGGTTTTCTAATATACCATTATGTTAGATATTTCTCATTTTTACCTTCTGAATTTTATAGTAGAAAAAAGGTGAGACTTAATTGATCATTATCAAGTATGTGTCCATGTGTTCATGATTGAAGTAGTAACCCTTAAGCGATGTATTGGTTCATATTTATGCTTTTAGTTACCTGTACACATTAGCAACTCTACAAATGATCACTGAGCATAAATAGAGCTAAATGAGGTAATGGGAAGAGGCCTTCTTAATTTTTTTTAATATTTTATTTTTTAGTTATAGTTGGACAAATACCTTTATTTTATTTACTTATTTATTCTTATGTGGTGCTGAGGATCGAACCCAGGTCCTCGCACATGGTAGTCGAGCTCTCTACTGCTGGCCACAACCCCATCCCCCTTCTTAATGTTTTTATTAATTGTTACCAATAATCATCAAAATCTTTTTGAGTTTATCAAGTTGGGCTCCACTTTTTCAAGAGATATTTATTGAAATTCATGTACTACCTGTTTTGCCCAGAATGGTTTATCCATTTTCAGATAAGTCTTTATTAGTGTGTAAATCTTTATAATGTCTATAAAATTTAATGAAAAGAAGCTTTTTATAGTTTTATTGATGGTAACTGAAGCCTAGCACTTTTCTCCCCTTTGTTCCTTAGTAGATTGTGCTGTAAAAGATAAACTTCTGAATGGAGTGGAGACTTTAGAGCTTACCAAGTGCTGACAGCTTGTGTTAGTATTAACTTATGTTCCCCAAAGGCTAAATAGAAACCATCCAAGCTGTAATTACTTAAGGGAAAAAAAAAAATGGATCCTGTTTTTAGCATTGTTAAGGAATTGCTCGTTCTTTGAAGAAAACTCTTTATTTCTTGGTGCTTTGGGCTAATATATTCCATTTTTCTCAATACAACAGCTGGTCGTGCTTTTGAGGTTTTTAGCACCTTTTATATCCCTGCTGCTATTGAAGAACTGTGTTTAAAAACAATGTCTTAGTGTTATGGTTTAGATAGAAAGTGTCCCCCCAAATTTCCTGTGTTAATACAGATATATTCAAAGGTAAAGTGATCAGATTCTGAGAGCTGTAACCTAGTAAATTCATCCTGGTTTGAGTGGGCTGACTGGGTGGTAACTATAGAGGCATGGCTAAAGGAGAAAAGCCACTAGGGGCATGTCCTGAAGATTTCATCTTCCTTGGGCCTCTTTCCTCTCTTCCTGCTTCCTAGCTTCCATGAATATAGCAGTGCTTCCACCATGATGTGTTTCCTCACCTTGGGCCCACAGCAGTGGAGTAAGCCAGCCCTGAACTAAACCTCTGAGCTGTAAGCCAAATACATTTTCTCTCCTCTAAGTTGTTCTTTTCAGGTATTTTTGGTCACGGTGATGCAAAGCTGACTAACACACTTAGGTTTGATGATGGTGGAAGCTTGAACACTAAACATCAATTTACATGGAAGAAATATGGTGTTATGAGTCAGAGTTTTGGCTATCCTACCAACCCAGGGAAGATGGTTTCTGAGATTATAAAATCATAAGTTTAGAATGGTTGACCATGTACACCTATCATTCCAGTGGTTTGGGAGACTAAGGCAAGAGAATCTCAAGTTTCAAGCTAGCTTCAGCAACTTCGTGAGGTCCTAAGCAACTTAGCAAGACCTTGTCTCAGAATTAAAAAAAAAATTAATAAAAAGGGCTGGGGATATGACTCAGTGGTTAAGTGTTCCTGGGCCCAATCCCTGGTACCAGACAAACAAACAAAAAAAGAAATGTAGAATGGTTGATTTCTCATGTAGCTCTTCACATTCTATTATTTTAAAAGTTCCAACATGGCAAATAATTGGGATGGTTTATCTCCTTGAATTTTATATTTACTATCTTAGTAGAGAACAAAACTATGATTATTAGTTTGCAGTTGTGGAGGTGTTATGATCATGTCATTTCTTCAAAACGCTTGAGTGTTTTCCAGTACTTGTCTAATGTGAATGATATTGCTGTGCTCTCAGACTTTGT